TGTGCTGCCCTTCTGTAGCCAGTCCCACAGGCTAACTATCATCTTACATTGGAAAAGTCCCACAGAGCTCACTTAGTAACCATTGCATGTGTGAAAATCTGTGCCTAGCCATGATGAAATGGCTTGCGATTTAAACTACTATTTGGAACTATTTATAGTCTAGGGTAAACAGGATTCAAGTGCTCCTGTTGGGGTTCTGTAAATGGAAAGAATGTCAGGATGAGGATGGAAAGTGTCACGTATTACAGTTTCTCTAGAGAAAAATTGCAAATGTTGTACTGAGAGAAGTGACAGTACTGAAAATTAAAATCAAGGTATGGGATAAAGGTTTTGGATGTCTGTGGGTGAACATAAAATACAAGTCTCAGTGGGGTAGCTGTGTTACTCTGTATCTGCAAAAACAAGGAGTCTTGTTATGACACCCGAGGGCACATCTACACTACAGCGTTATTTTGAAACAACTCACATAATTTTGAAATAACAAGGTGAGCGTCCACACAACGAACCCGTTATTTCAAAATTATTTCAAAATAACAGGCTTCTTATTCCAGAATAATAACCCCTCACTTCACGAGGAATAACACCTATTTCAAAATAGCTATTTTGAAAGTGGGCGGGTGTGGTTGGCGCAATTGTGCTTATTTCGAAATAATTGGCCTCCAGGGCTTCTCACAGCTGCCCTGGTGGCCACTCTGTCCACACTCCTCAAAACTCTATAGTTTCCCTTCCCCTGCAGCTTTTAAAGCTGCAGCCACAGGGGAAATTTCTGATGGCACAATACAGGCCCTGACCAGTGGTGGCCCATCCATAGGTGCGAACTAGGTGGTTGCCTAGGAAGGGCACCAAATTAAACGGCTGTTGAGGGGTTTGGAGGTGAGGGTGCCGATCCTGAATTTTGCCTAGGGCGCCTGTTGTCGGCAGCTCGTCTAGGGCCACTCCTGGCCCTGACAGCCCTGTGCCATGCTGCAGAAGCCATTTGTGTAGCAATGGCTGACCCCAGTGCTCTCACCAAGCCCCCCACGGCTGCTAGTGAGCCGACAGCCAACTTCCAAGTCTCTGCCCAGGGGCAGAAGAAAAGGACCTCTTCCTGGTTTGGTGCAGAGATCCTGGATCTCATTGACATATGTGGAGAGGAGGCGAACCCCTAGGATCTCTGCACCAGACACAGGAACACTGCTATGTACAGCTGGATGGCCACAAGTCTGGGCCAGAAGGGCCACGTGCACCCAGGAGTAAGTGCACATGAAAATCAAAGAAGTGAGGCAGGCCTACACCAAGGCCAAGGAATGCAGTTCTTGCTCAGGAGCGACACCCCAGACCTGCCACTTTTATGAGCAGCTGCACCGCATTGGGCGGTGGCGGGAGGGGGGGTTGGTTCCTCCCTCCCCTCATGAACTCCAGCCTGGAGATGTCCTTTGTGAGCCTCCCGGAGGGCGGGTCTGTGGACGAGGAGGAGGAGGGGGTGGAGGAAGATGAAGCCAGCCAGGACACAATGCCTGCCAGCAAGGAGGTCATCCTGTCCCTGGAGCTGTCACCTGCCCTCCTCCCAGGATGTAGCCCAGGGTTCAGACGAAGCCGGGGAAGGCCCATCAGGTGAGTTCTATTACTTTGCCTGGACACAGGTGGGGGGAGATGGTGGACAGTACACTCCTTGCTTGGCCTTCTCAGCCTGGGGATTGCACAACAGCCTCTGCACATGGCGCACCAGTCCAGGGCACACAGCTGCACCAGGCTGCCACAAAGGAACCTTTCACTCATACTCACAGGGTTTCTGGAGACACCTTTCCACCACAAGCCATCACTAAGCAGGGTGGGGTCATGGATACACGCAGCAGTGTGCACACAGTCATGCCCCCACTGTCAGGGCAACATTCACTCCCAGTCAAGTGTGGCGAGGCAGCTGACGGTGAGGCAGCTGACACCGAGCCCCTGCCATGGGACCCCGCGGGGGAAGAAGAGAAGGGGACCCCAGTAGCGCCCATACCAGCAAGTGGTGTCTGCTGCTCACACACACCTCCCCAACACCTTCCCCTCTGTGGGACGCCACCATTGGCACTTCCGGAGGGAAGGCAAGATGCCCTGTCACCCCCTTCCCACCCACAGGCTCCTGGCCTGGCTGGCACCTTCCCATGCCTGCTTGTCCCCGGGCCGTGGGGGTAGCAAGGGTCCCCTGGGACATCTGCACCCCTGCAGGACAGTGCCCGTTATCTAAGCCACAGATGGCCTTTCTCGAAGCACATCACCATTGTCTGAACAGAGACCTATTGGTGTCAGCTCAGAGATGAGGGCTGGGCTTCATGTACACTGACTCCTGGGATGACTGCCCTTCTCGCTTTTCTTCACAGCTGGACCAGCTGCGAGTGAGGCACATCCACCATATCCCATGCCATCCTCCTGACCCTGTGAGAGCCGCTGCCACAAACAGCCCCATGAGGATCTAGAGGGAACATATTGCCCTGCAGCGGTGTCTCTAGCAGCAGGAGCAGAGGTGGGACGCTGGCCTGGAGCTACACCACACCACCTGGCAGGACCTGTCCCAGCAAAACCGCAGCGCAGTGTGGCATACACTGCTGCTGTCAACCTCCTGCTCACCGTGATTGAGAGCCCCGCAGTCCCTCCTCCCCCTCCCCCACACATCTGCTTCTGTCCCTGCCCCTCTATCTTCTCCCTTAAACCCCTCTTGGCTGCCAAGGGCCCCACACAAGAGGCAGTGGGATCAGGTGCCAGTCCCAGCTCCATTCCTCAGCCTCTCCTCTCCCTCCTCCTCTTCCTTCCTCCCAGGTTCTTTTCCTAGTCCTTCCCCCATTTTATATTTTTCCCAAATAAAAAAAAACAGTTTCTTGCTTCAAATCAAAAAGTCCAGTTTATTGTATCTGTGGGGGGGAGGGAAGGTGGGAAGGAAGGCACAGAGGGGCAATGCAGAGGCCCCTTGTGGGGAGATCCAGGGGAGAGCGTCACAGCTGGCCTTGTCTGAAATACTCCTTCAGGATTTCCTGGTGCACACAGCCCCTTATGGACTTGCCAGATGGCAGTGGTGCATGGCTGCTCAAAGGCCCTAGCGAGCTGCTCAGCCTCTATCCCCCCATCCTGGCAGGAACATCTTCCCCTTGTTCTTGCACAGGTTGTGTGGGACACAGCAGGCTGCCACCACCTGGGGGATGTCCCACTCGCTGAGGTCCAGGCAGATGAGATGTCAGAATCTCCCCTTCAAATGGCCGAAGGTGCCCACCACCACAATGCAGGCACTGCTGAGCCTGGCATTGAATACCTCCTTGGCGGGGTCCAGGTGTCCGCATCATCAGCCAGGGGGGCACAGGGTAGGCTGCATTGTCCACGATGCACATGGGCATGTCCATGTCCCCAACCCTGATGGTGTGGTTCATCGTGAGCCTTCCCCGACCACCTGACACTGATGTTAGTGAAATGGCCTTGGTGGTCCAAAAGGGCTGCAGCACCATTGAGAAGTAGCCCTTCTGGCTGATGTCATTGGTGGAAATGTGAGTGCCGCTAGTGGTGACGATGGGGTCCACATCACCCAGGATGATGACCCTGCACAGTAGGATGGCATTGATGGCCCTCACCAACTGTGAGAGGATACAAGTAGAGAATCACAGGGTTGCCAGAGCCCTTGAGAAGTCTCCGAGCCCAACCCCCCTTCCCAAAGCAGAAGCAACCCCAACTATTCGAACCCTGGCAGGGCTTTGTGAAGGTGGGACTGAAAAACCTCCAGAAAGGGAGAGTCCATTTTTCCTCCTCTTTCCTCCCCCCCGCCCATTCCAGAGGGAACCCCATTCCAGTGCTTCACCACCCTCCTGGGACAATAACAAGAGAATTACACCTGTATGAGCACGGCCCTGATGGTCGATCTCCCCACACTGAACTGGTTCCTGACAGAGTGGTAGCTGCCTGGAGTGGCAAGCTTCCAAATGGCGATGGCATCACACTTCTGGAGGGGGATGGTGGGTTGCATGTGGGTGTCCCATTGCTTGAGGGCTGGAACAAGCCACTCGCACAGCTTCAGGAAGGGGTCCTTCTGCATGTGGAAGTTCTGGAGCCACTGCTGGTCGTCCCACTGCTCCATGATGATCCGACCCCACGAGTCGGTACTGGTGTCCCAGCAGCAGAAGCGGTGCTGCACGGTGTGCAGGGATGAGTGGGAGGGGCTGTGCTGCATGAGCAGCACATGGATTAGGGTGCGGAGATGCCCCAGAGTGAGCTGCTGGTCCTGGTCTTGCAGTGCCACATGGGCAGCCTGCAATAACTGCACCAGGAGGTGCAGCATGAGGTCTAAGAGTGGGCAACTACTTGGAGGCAGGTCCGGCTCTATGGCAGGAGTGTTGTATCCGCAAGGCAACCAAAGCAGGCAGGAGAAGAGTTTGCTGTCCCTTAAGGAGATAGGCAACGGAGAGGAGACTGAGATGTGCCTGTAGGTACTTTAAGCATGAGCCTCAGGCAGCTCCAGGAAGTGACTGCTGTCCAGAGTGCTTCTGGGGGGGCTCTAATGGGATTCAGGCTCCAATCAGCGCGGACACGCTATTTCTACATAATTCTGCGCTGTTTCAGTGGACATCTGTAGTGTGGACCCGCTGTTTCAAAATTATTTTGGGAGTTATTCCAAGACTTACTGAAATAAAGCTACATTTCTACGTTCTGCTTTTCCCTTGAGTGTTCAGTGTCCTTGTATTGCAAAGTTTGTTGCCTGAGTGCATGCATGGGGGAAAAAACAGTTATTACTTACGAGTGGGTGGAATTAATAATTGGGTGGAATTGAAGCTAAACACAGTAATTTTTAAGTATACAAAGTGCAATGGTATAAATGTTTTAATGAAATAAGTGATGTGTATTTTGCAAGACTGACAATTCTTATAGTAATTACTGCATTATATGACTGAGTTTTTTGTGATTGGGGCACTTTGCTGGAAAATTAGTCACTAGTATTTCAGGTCATTTTACTGAGATTATTAGACTTATAGTGATTAAAAGTAGTTTTAAACTGCAAATAAAAATGTGCTGTTTGTAGGCAGAGCATTACCAGATGTTGGTTGAAGAGTTGAAAGAAAACCACATACAGCTGCAGCTTTTCCGACTTTATCACAATGAGAAAAAAATTGAAATTTTAAATAATAAATTGGATGAAAAGAACATGGATATAAATACTAAGGAAGACTCTCTGACTTCTGCTGAAGATACATTTAAAGCTAAGAAAAAAGTGTTTGGAATATTAAATAGAGACCAACAACACATGGAAAAAAAAATGAAGTAGGTTTTCCTATGATAGAACTAAACTGAGATTTTGAGAGTTAATCTGCATTCTAAGTTATTCTTCAAGGAGTATTTCCTGATCAAGTGAGTGGGTGAAATTCTGGCCCCATTGAAGTCAATGTGAGGTATCAAAAATAGTAATCACAGTGTTATAGAGTAAATATATGTAGTACTTAATTTTCAGCCACTTAATTTGTAACTGTCCTCAATAAAATATTTTACCTGTTTACTGTAATATTGTAGGTATGATTTAGCATTGTACTTCACATTAAATCTCTGTTTTCAGTTATATGTATCAAAATATGACTTTTCGATTGAAGTATCTCATAGTTTGCCCTTGCATCAAAGGTAATTTTTTTTTATTGTTTTGTTCCAGGCTGCGTTTCTTGGTTTCTTTGAAACAGAGTTGACAAAAATGTTTCTTTTTTTTTGTTTTAAAGAACTCTAGAAGCATCACTGAATCAGAAGAGGCCCCAGTATATTAAAGCAAAGGAGAACACGTCTCACCAAATCAAGAAAGTAGATATGGTTAAGAAATCCTTAAAAGATAATGAGAAACACCTTGCTAAGCAAAAGCTAAACATAAAAGAATTAGAAGCCGAGTTGACTGATGTTGAGAGAAGTTGGGCAGTATACGAAAGGAAGGTTGAAGAAGAGAAGTTGCAGAGAGGAGCAGATGTTGAGCTGGAAGCAAGTCAAGTGAGTTGTAGCGCTTGCAGTGTGAGGAAGGAAGAGCACTTGACTGAGTAAAATCCGGGCTCTGTTAAACCTAATGGTAGTTTACCATTGACTTCAGTAGGCCCATGATTTCACTCATGGTCTTCAAAGAGTAGTTACAAATGCATTTTGACTTGGTTCTTTTTCTTTGCAATTTAGTATATTTGTTGAATAGGTTGAGGAAAAATAGTGATATTTTTCATTTCTTATAGGATTATCCTGGAAAACTGACAGACTTATTCTTTGTCAATTTGTACATAAACTTTGTGAGTTTGTACATAAAAGCATCTGATATTTGTATTTCTTCTATATGCCTGAGGCAGCAGCTCCACACTCTCACATCTAACCTGATGCCCTGCCGGCACTGGTTCTGGCCAGCCTTAACTTCGGTTCAGGGTCCACTCAATGGGGACGCACTAGTTCGAACTAGCAAAACGCTAATCTGAATTAATTTTTAGGTCTAGATGCACTAATTCGAATTAGCTTGGTTCGAATTAACTAATTTGAATTAAGTTAGTTCGAATTAGTGCTGTAGTGTAGACATACCCATAGATGCTTAAGAGTCGATGCTTAGCTGATTGCACCTATAAATTGCACTTCAGTGCTGAAGACATTTCTTTCCCCATTGGGAAACAATGCAAATGTTCCATTCATGGGGCCTATCCAAACGGCTGCTCATAAGTGTTGTGCAGAATGGAAATGCATTTCTGCCTTCCATAGATTATTGTTAAGGCCTTATTACACCAGCTTACTATATTTGTAGCAAGAATGGCTGTGCCAGGTGCAGGGTCTGCTGGCTGGGTGCTGGCAGGCTTGCACCTGGCACGGGCACCGTAGCCAGCCCGTGCCCCTTTAAGAGATCCGGGGCCGGGAGGGGGGCAGAAGAGTTTCCCTGGTGGTGCCCAGAGTGGCCACCAGGGAAAGCTGGGGAGGGCTAGCCTCCCACTACTTCGAATTAAGTGGCTACACAGCCCTTAATTCGAACTAGTTAATTCGAACTAGGCGTTAGTCCTCGTAGAATGAGGTTTACCTAGTTTGAATTAAGTGCACCACTAGTTAGAATTTAGTTCGAACTAGCGGTTTGCATGTGTAGCGCCTATCAAAGTTAATTTGAACTAACGTTTGTTAGTTCGAATTAACTTTGTAGTGTAGACATACCCTAACTGATTTATTAGGACCAAGAGCGGCCTGAGGCCGGCTGCGGCAGCTAGCGCCCCAGGTGGAAGGTGCAATTGGCGCCCCCGCCTGCACGGCCGACAATGGCCTTGACATAATCACGGGGTGCCCTGGCGCCCCGTGACGTCATCATCGGGCGCCCGGGCCAGTGGTGCCCTAGGCAACTGCCTAGTTTGCCTAAGCTCATGGGCGGCCCCTGATTAGGACATAAGCTTTTGTGGGTAAAACCCACTTCATTCATCTGATGAAGTGGGTTTTACCCATGAAAGCTTATGCGCTGATAAATCTGTTAATATCTAAGGTGTCACAGGACTCCTCATTATTTTTATAAAGTACAAGGATAGTGGTTTGCTGTGACTGTTTGTTACTAAAGAAATGGGCCGTCACTAATTGGCAGAAATTGACTTAACAAGATAACTCTGGACTGGAATACAGTGCATCACTTGTATGGTCTGGTAATGAAAATTCACAAACCCAGAATCTGTTTGATTCAGACAAGAGTTCAGTGGGAAAGAATAATGGCAAAATGACTTGGACTTAAGTGAATGTGGGATGCATTTTTAATGTTCACTTTGTGCCTTGTTTCTCCTCCCCCTCCCCCCAAGAGCCTGCAGGAAAACAGTCTGAGGAATTATAGAAGTAAAGAATGGTTTTTGCTGGAGAGTTCAGTGAATGGGCTGCGTGGGGGAGTGGATATTTGTTTAAAACTGATGGCAAGAAAAAGGATTTTGTGAAGCCTATGAAGTCATCCTCAAACTTCTGCTAGAGATAGTTCACAGCTTAGTCATTTGCTTAGGACAGGTGTGGGGAACCCTTTTTTGGGTTGGGGGCCACTGACCTTCAGAAAAATCAGTTGGGGGGCCGCACACAAGTGAGAAGCAAAAAACCCCAAACCAACCCTCACTGAGGTGAGTCCCGAATGAGAAGGAGAAAGACAGTCTCTACATTCCCCTCACACCAGAGCCTTGGAGAGCCCAGACAAGTAGATTTTGTGTGCTCCAGCCCTGCAGAGGGACAGCGGAGGGGGCTGGAGTGCTAGTGCAGGCTCTCCAATGCTGTGGGGAGCCCTGAGCTTTGGTCTGGATCCAGGCAAGCCGGGGGCCACATCTGGCTCCCAGATCTTGGGTTCCCCACCCCTGGCTTAGGGCATAGCATGGATTCAGAGTGGTTCCATCCTTTTGTAGGAAGAAAAGGACATTGAGACTGTGACGGTAAACCAAAAAGATTTTGGCTTTAAGATAAGCTATTTTAAAGCTGTTAAACTACTATGGAAGAGTCATTCCAAATTTGTCTACTTTAATAAAGCCCAGGGTTGAATTGGGCTGGCTCTCAATGGCTCAGCAACTTGGCATTTATTTTAGAAGCTGTCTTCTGACAGAGGTCCAGAATTTGAGCTTTCCTTTACAACAAATCATTGAAGTCTGTAGGAGCCTTTAGGGAAAAGTAACTCCTCTAAATATGAACCATTTGCCAACAGATGCAGTAGCGCCAGCCTGAGTCTGCAGGCAGCCTGAAGATAAAGCTCTGCAAAATGTGTAACTGGTCCTATACATCATAATGGGGTGTTCATCAAGGGCTTTAGAATCATGATCAAAGCAAACAAGTAAGGCATGATTATACCATTCTGAGCAATATGTGAAAGAGATGGATAAATGGGGAAGGCAGAGCTTTGCAAAGTCCTGAAGGCAAACAAGAAGCTTGAATTTAATGCCATTAGAGAAGAGAAGTGGGAGCCAATGGGAATGGGAAGGATTCAGAATTGGGGGTGACTTGGTCAGAAGATAAACAAGGAGTACCACCTTGGGAGCAATATTCTGTACAGACCAGAGAGTGACAGCTTGAGTGTCAGGGGTGAGGAGTTGACAGTAATTAAGATTGAAAGTGATAATATAAAATTGGGTTGGATGGAAAAGAAAGGCAAAGGTTTTGAAGCAGGAACAGCAAATCTGAGAAATTCTACCATTCTGATACATTTTAGTCTAGAGTTTATAACTAGGAACAAATGACACTTTTCATTATGTGCAGAAGCTGTAATTGTTTACACGTGTGAAGATGGAAAAGAGAAAGCCTTAACATTTGTGAAATAAATGCTTAACAAAGGCAGCAATGAATTACATTCTCTGCTGCCTTTTCAGTTGAGGTATTTTTGGAGCAATTAAAATTCACATTTGAAAAGAAATCTACCTTGATCACTGATCAAAAGCTTGTGTTAAAAGGCTGGTGCAGAAGGTATTCCACCTCTTGCAGAAGCCAGGATTCTGAGGTGGGCTAAAATCTTAGCTTATATCAGTTTTCTACCCAGCACAAGCCTGAGTGAAACTTACTAACCCTGGCTTGCTTTCCCAGTAGTCTAGAAGTACGGACACAATGGGAAGTAGACTCAGGATATAGAATCTTCCCAGTACTGCTTGAGAGAGAGAAGTTACAATTTCTCAAATATCCAAATGGCTTAGGAGCCTGAGAGCTTGTCTACATACATACTTAGTTTGCAGCAAGCAGGGGTATGATGCTACCTCACACTAGCTTGCTGTGCACTAATGGTCTCTGTGTACACACTGCTTATGTGTACTAATAGCTTAGTGCTTTGATCTACTCCCATTTCAGAGCAGGTTAAAGCAATGTGTACTAACTGTTAGCGCACATCAGCAGGCTAGCAGAAAGCAAATCCACACCTCAGCTTGTCGCAAGCTAAATATTCATGTAGACCAGACTGTAATCCTACTTTGAGAAGTGAGTGGAGGGGCATATTCTTAAATTTTCCACAAAGACAAATGCAGAGTTCTACACTTGGGATGGAAGAAGCAGCTGTTTGGCAGAAAAGGACCTGGGGATTATAAGATGATAAGATGGATGCCAGTCAACAGTGTGGCCTTGTAGCTGAGAAGGCTAACAAAATATTGGGATGCATTAGTAGGAGCGTTGCCAGCAGATCTAGGAAAGTGAGGCCATATTTGGGGTATTGCACGAAAAGATGTGGATGCATTGGGGAAAATTTCAGTGGAGGCTTAGAACAAATAATTTATGAAGAGAGGATGAGGGATTTGTGCTTATTTAGTCTGCAGAAGAGAAGAGTGAGGGGATGTGTGATAGCAGCCTTCAACTATCTGAAGGGAGGTTCCAAAGGGAAGGGAGAGAGGCTGTTCTCATTAGTGACAAATAACAGAACAAGACACAAGGGTCTCAAGTTGCTATGGGGCAGGTGTAGGTTGGATATTAGGAGGGTGGTGAAGCACTGGAATGGGTTACCTAGGGAGAGGGTGGAATCTCCATCCCCTAGAGGTTTTTAAGGCTTGGCTTGACAAAGCTCTGGCTGGGATGATTTAGTTGGGATTAATCCTGCTTTGGGCAGGGGGCTGGACTCAATGGCTTCCTGAGGTCTCTTTCAGGCCTGAGAGTCTATGAAACATAGTTAGGGACCTAAATAATGAAAATTAGATGCCTACTTGCCTTTTGTGGATCTGGAGCTTAGCCTCCTAGTTCCTATTGATTTTTTCAAAGAGATTTATGTGCCTATACTTGCTACATTTCAAAGGCTGAGGCGCCCTTATCGACGAATAAAATAGTTGATGTAAATTACATCGACTATTCGATTAGTTGATTAATCTAAATTTAACATCCTTAACCTAAACCAAGACATCAGGAGAAATTAACCAGTGCAAACTCTGAAATGGGCTAGAAATTGCTTTACAGCAGTGGGGTTTTAAGTCTTGGCAAAGACAACACGCTGATTTATTTCCCCCCCAGATCAGAGTAAGCATATTCTTGTAGCTGGTGCTTATTCCAGGTGGCCTGCAGTAATACAGATTGTATAGCAAATGTTTTTGCTGCTCAGACTACTGAGCCATTGCAGGCTATGTGGGCAGCATATGGTTTGCCTAAAAAAGGTGAGATGTTTGGTAAATCGCACTGGATCACTGTTTATCTCTTTGCTTCACATGGGACAGTGGGATGTTTTGTGCAAAAGGGAAATACAGAGAAAGAAGGGTAAAGTCCTGCAACGCTGCATTGCAGACTCTATTGGATGTTTAGCTCAGCCCTACAGACCCCAGCCCAAGAAATTCCAGCAGAGATAACTACTAATAAACATCAGTTAAG